AGTAGGTTTACAGCTGTGAGTACGAGAAACACAGTTTATTCCTGTATTATTATTTATTATTTTATTACTTTCCATACAAATAACTGTAAACTTACTTTTGCCCCAGCCTATATAATGTTTTTCCACAGTGCACAGCAGTTCAATACACAGTAGGATGTAACTTGACATCATCAAGTTTTTTATTAATCCAACTGAGAGTGTTAATAGTATTTGCAAATTTTTGAATTATAATCAAGGCACGAGAGAAATATCGCTTATCGTTTTATAAAATAGTAAACGTCTCCACTATAAACATATTAATTGCTGATTTATGGGGCATTTCTCTAGTCTGTTCCTGAAAAGTTATCATGGCGGCAATAGTGATGAATGAACTATTTTCCAAGTTTTCACAATATAGCTAATTACCCATTTCACAGTTATGCATCTCAAAAAAGTTTTTAAAAAGTTTTTATTAACGATTTGTAACATGTAGTATGTAATGATTTTGAAAATGCTTATGTATGTATTTTGAGAAGTCTTTACCCCAACTCTGAGACACCTTCATTTCTCCTTAGACTGGTGGGCCTCTAGTTCTGGGCTGATCTATTTAAATCTAGGAATCTCTCAGGACAGAGTAATATCTTTTGCAAAGTAGTCAAAATATTTATATACTTAAGCCTTCTGAAGAAGGTATATTTTTGGGGGTGTGATGTAGAAATAATAAATCAGGTTTAAGATATAAACTTTTGAGTTGCAAATATATCATGAATGATTCTTCTTAATAAACAGAGATCTTGATGAAATAAGCCCCATCCATAGAAAGCATCCCCCCTGCAAAAGTCTAGGATTATGTAGCTGTGATGTGCAGATGACTTGGCTATGGAAAGGGGTGGTCTAATTAAAGGTTTCTGTTAAAATAATGGGTAATAAAATAGCCTTATACCAAGTCATTCTCACAGAATTTCACATTGGCGCATCAAGGTGACTAACCTTAACGACATATGCTAGTGGGAAGCCCCTCTAGGCTTCTAGGCTCTATTACTTCCCGTGTCTTGCTGCAGCTTTAGTGCTTGTGTTAGTATTGACTGTGTTCCCCTCTGTGTGGTTGTCGTAGTTGGAGTCTCAGGCGCTAACGGCTGTTCCCACTGTCCGATATCTCTCATGTACTAGGGGCCGCTAGAACCCAAGCAGGCGCGTCAGTTTGCAACACAAACGCTTTCTGCAACCCTCCCTACAGTGAGGCCATCAGTATGCGTACACTTCGTTCATGCTCTGGAACATTTATAACGAATACTTTGAGAATGCTTTTTCTGCGATCGAGTTTTATTGTATGTCATACATATGTGTCCTCTGAAGAATAATTTACAGTAATTGGCTACTCAATAGAAATTTTTCGGAAGACAGAGATGCGTAAATCTTGTAAATTATCAGATGAAAATGGGATATTTCTTATTTAGATGGGAGTGAGAAATATCTTTTATGTTTTAAAAAGTTCAACTACATCAATGAAAGGAATCCATTGAATTAAAATTGGGGAAGAAAGTGTTTGACAGTGTACTGACCTGGTTGAATTTTACTGGGCATGTGGTACTTTAAGTGGACAATGTCATCTCTTTTCTTTTATCTGGATTTTACTTGTAACTTTGACAGAGCTTTTGTCTGGCTCTTCTCATTGTGTTTGTGTTTCCTGTATAATTGTGATGCATGATTAGCGTAACTGTGTGTGTGTGTGTGTGTGTGTGTGTGTGTGATTTGCTGTGAAAATTCACCACGTAGCTGGAGCCAAAATCGCACTTAGTATTTCATGGGGTTTTGGCTGATTTCCTTTCTGCTTCCCTCATTAAGTGAGCGCCATCAAGGCCAGCAGTCCCCACATTTTGTGTCCGGAGAAGAGCCAGGCCAGATGGGAGCCGCGTGAAAGCTACCAGTTATCCCGCTAATCGCGCCGGCTGGAACCAGTTGTGCCGCATTGGAAACTGCGGACTCCAGCACCGTGGCGTTCACGGCCCATTAGCGGTGTGCCCGAGAGGGGGCAGTTCAGGCTGGGCCCGTGTGCTCGAGGAAGTGGCAGCTGCTTCCTTAGCCAGCCCTTCGTATCCATCTTCGAATTTGTAAATAAACATTGCAATAATGAATAATGTTTGCGAGGATCACACACAGACACATATATATAGCTTAGGCCTCTTACCCAAACATTTAATCATCTTGAGAAGCTTCCCGTAAAGAGAGCCCAGTGGTTTCCCCCGGTCTGTGACCTTTCTTTGTCTCAGTGAGTAAAAAGTTACTGCCAAAGCGAGCGAGTTGTGGACGTATTTTAGAAATGGAGAGGAAATCAATGGAGAAAGCAGAAAAAATAAATCGGGAGGAAAGACAGCAATCAGCATATTTATCATAAATGAAGGAACAAGACATCGAGACTGGTGAAGGCTCAAGGGTTTCGCTTGAGCACCTCCTGAGATAAAAATAGCTTTAAACGGCAACTCACTTCACGGGCATCGTTCTCTGCGCTGTCGACGGTCACGGGTGATGGCGAGTTTCTCTTTCCGACCGACACTGAGGCTGAAGGTGGTGCGACAGTGAGGACATCAGGTTAGTATGCAGGCCCCTGCCCCCTGGGCCACACTCGGCCTTCTTTCGATCATGCTGGTCTCAGCTCCCCCCACCCCCATTTCATGGTTAACTGCTCTCTGGTCAAAACACTTAAACTTCTAAGTAACAAACAACTCTTTGCATCAGGTGACATCTCGCCCGCTCTGTGGCATACCTGAAATAAATTCCATTTGAAAGTTTGGTTCCTAAAGCTCATATACATCCGTTTACAAGACAACTATTGTTCACATGAGGTTAAGTCAACTCAGAAAAAAAAAAATATATAAAATTTAATATTTACCCTCAGGTCTTTAATCTGTCAAAAGATTATTTGTTTTTCTTTGTTCTTTGATTTTCAAAAAGTCTGAGGAAGACTCTACTTTTAATAGTTACTGTAAACAACTCTGTGATGTCTAAGTATTTTTACAATTTTATTCATGGACTAAAATGTTCTAGCACAAGGCATTATGCTTTTTTCAAAATTTATGCATTTTTTTGCAGCTTAATAACATGTATTTTTCTATTTCTTTTAACCATGAATCTCATGGCATATTTATGCCAGTATTTCTTTATGAAACGCTGATGTTTAGGCTAATAATGCTTGGATATATTTATCAAAATCAAGGCCATGCATTGGCGTTTTTATTTGTGGTCAGAGGTGTGTACCTGTAACCCCCATGTTTCATCAGGCTATTATCTCAACAGAGTTCTTCGGGAGAAAGAAAATTCCACTAGTGTCTATTTATGACCCTCAGTGTAAATCAAACAGTCCTGAAAGATTGATGATTTCTGGGCGTTAGAAAGAAAGGAGTCAGAACACAGCAGAAATCTGCTTCTCCCCCGACTAGCATGGGCGCGCCCCCGTTTAGCGGGTCTAGGGAAAGGCCACAGGGCGCCTGGTCCGAGGGGGCCCGGACCGAGGAGACTGATGGAGCAGGAGAGGTGACCTACAAAGTCAGCGTGTCATTAAGAGAGGATGCCATCAATTAGCTCGATCCATTCCCTTCATTCAAGCACCATTAAGTAACGTTCTTATGACAGGCAGAACCGAATCATTAAGTAGATTTAGGCTTTGTTTTGCTGAGGGGGATAATGAAGCACTAACTTTACAACATATGCATGAACTTTGTGGAAAAAAATAAACTGTTAAAATTTAAAGAGCCCCTTGATTAAAACGAAAAACAGGCCGAGTCTGTAAGAAACATGAGCCAGGAGTGAGCTCATTTTACATAAAAGCTTTAATAAAACAAAAATTGAAATTTCTGTTTTGAGTTCCATGCAGGATTTTTCATAAGCCTTGGACAGAGCACAGTGCCTGTTCATTTGTTGTGCACGTCCCATTCCTTACATGCTTTTAGTTTTTCAGGAAACGCTAAGATTAAGGGGTTAAGCAGCCCCCATACACCCCACAAAACAACCATCACCACCTTCCTAGAGAACCGTGTGGCGATGGCCAGAGGAAAAGGGGGAGGTAGGAGGGGTGAAGGGGGGACAAATGGTGATGGAAGGAGACCTGAGGTGGGGTGGAGAACACACCATATGCAGGTGATGTTTTATGGAGTTGTACACCTGAAACCCACATACTTTCATTAACCAGTGTCACCCCCAAAAATTCAGTTAAAAAAAGAATTTAATTCTGATGCTTGCATAATTTAATCTAAGTTACAGTGTAACACTTGGTACATGTTCTAGACAATGTTTATATTCTATTTTATTTTATTATTTTAAAAAAATATATCTGTATTGATTGCAGAGAGAGGAAGGGAGAGGAAGAGAGATAGAAACATCAATGTTTATATTTAAAAAAAATATGCCGAATTCATTGTATGACACCCAAGTGAGGATGTCATGAAGGATTTGAGGGGGGAAGAAAAACAATAATAGTTAAAATAATTGGACACTGAAAGGGTATCGGAAACTTCCTCAGCAGTATCTCCCTGGTCATGATTCCATGGGAGAGACCATGTTTTTATTCCCGCGTTCAGGCGGGGAAACTGAGACTCGAGAAGTAAGATAACTGGCTTAGCGTTGCATTGCTCGCGGGGGGCGGGAGGGCGGAGCAGGGTCGGCCGTGGGCCTGGTGTCTGAGCAGCGGTGATAGTTACGCCCGTGAGACTTAGTTCCACCAAGGAAATCGCGCAGAGGAAGGGAGCAGGGAACCAGCGCGTGACTATTTACTTGGTCAAGAAATACTTAAATGCTTTAGGAACTTGGGCACGTGGGCTGGGGAAGGAGACCGAGCAGCAGCCAGAGTTACAGAGGGCGTGGCTTTCCTGCCCGAGCACTGTCCCTGGCATTTTAGCAAAGAGAAAAGCCGATCAGGGGTGACACATGACTAAGAGAGGCAGAGACGTAAAATACTGTGGGACCCGCCACGTGGTCGCTGGGAAAACGGACAGGGCCCGAGAGGGCGAGGTTAGAGGTTAGAGGGCAGGGACAGAGCTCAGCCCAGTCACTCGTCCGTAATGCATCGTGTTCAAATGACACCGTAAAGGGAGGGTGATAATTATTATTGTTGTGGTGGCTTTTTTTTTTTTAACAATAGTCTTCCTAGATTTACCTAATAGCCTTATAAAAGCAGTTATTTCAGGGCTAAATAATTTAAAATTTGTCTCTTTTTATAAACAGAAGAAAGTCATATTTTTCAATTCTGCTTTGCCTGCAGTCACGCGGCGCGGCCTGTAAAGCAATGCGGCCGAGCGTCGTGTGGCTCATAAATGATTCCCGGGGGCACCCTGGCAAGGAGCTCGGCCGCCCTGAGGATGGCCTCGCCGCCGTGTGGCTAATCTCCCGAAGTGGCTGCTGGAAAGGGAACGTTCCTTTCCCCGCCCAGCGCCCGGCACGCGTGGTGACAAATCTGTCGCATTACTTGCTAGTCACATCCCGGGATTGTGTGTCCTAAGTGCTCTTTCTTTGTGTTATCCTAGGATCCCTCGTCGCTGGTAGAGCAACATCTGCCTCCGTAACGGGCGTGTTGAGAAGCCTGACAAGCTTTCTGATGCAGGCAGACGTCTCTTCTTCTGTTCTCAACGTTCACTGTCATTCTGCGTTCTAATGCATCCACGTTCCTAAATTAATTAGAATTAGATTTGAATAGGATGATAGAGATGAGTAAAGTCGATGTATTTTTCAGATCAAGAGACCAGCTTCTCTCTTGTTTCGGTGAAGAATATTTAGCTTCGTGTTATCATCTCGTAGTCTTCATGTAATACCTGTTACTCGCTGACTTCTTGCAGTGTTTCTTTACCGTCGCCGGGTATTTTAACATCATAGAAACCAGTAGCCGTTTCCTTGACTTTCCTACCCCGGTTTCAGATTTCTGGGTTGGCGTCTTGTACGCTCAGCGTCGACCTGACCTCCCCCTAAGCTAACCTTCCCCTTCTTTTCACTGGGTGGGAAAGAGCTCAGTCGTCAACGCAGAAACACGCGAGGTAGGGCAACAGCCGTGGAGATAGCGATAAAGCTAAGATGCCTTTCAAAAGAATGTTTCACTTGGAGTCTGTTCCCTCTTCGGCTAAAAATATTTTGTTCACTTTTTGTGGCCCAACAGAATATTCAAGACCTTCTGGTAGGGAGTAGAATTTTGACGTATTAAAAGAACATGATTCTCCGCACACTGCAGCTTTTAAAAATACACAATAGAGAGAAGATGCTAAAATCCTTGAGTCTGAGAGCGCAAATCCCTAATAAGAAGGGAAAAATGAAAATCCTGGGTGTCTACGTCTAAATTGAATTTCTCTGTTATATCCACACGCATTTCGAGCATAACATACGATATTTCTTACCGTTGTACAAGGCAAAGTCTTCCTGGATTGGATTCTGTATTACTAGAGTAAATCATCTAAGTCATGATGTAAATTTAAGTTTATTTAATTCTGTTATTTCAGCCAGATCCAAATTTCAACTCGGGATAGTATGTCCCTCCCTGCTTATTAGCTGGTCCGAATGGAAAGGAAATGAGACAAAGTTCTCACCAAGCCGGTCACTTTTCTTCTTCACCACACGGCAAAATTAGCTTCATTTCTTTTCTTTAGAGCGAGGTGTTTAACCTTGCATAATAATTTTGCTTTCCCATATATATGAACATGTATACATACTAACGATGTATATATTTAACTTTTAAACTGGTGAATGTATTTTTACAGAATGAAGAAAGAAAAAAGGCAGTGAAAATCTTCTCACTCTTTTTAGCAAGTATTAGTGAAATATCTGGCTGGATACTTGGGGACAGTCAATCGTTTAATATTTTGACAGGCTGAATGAGCGTCTCCTAATTTGTAGATTATTGCTGGAAGAACTCTCTTCTCAACCTTATAAAGAAGTCAGGAAGCCATCAAATTTGCGCACTGCCGGGAATCCGACAGTGGCAATAGCTTCCTTTGGATTTATCATTTTTTGACGATTTGAGGCTTTTAATCATCCGATCAGGGGTGCTCGGGCTTGACTTATAGACTGGCTGCCGGAGACGCGGGAATGTTCTACATACATTAATTCTCAATCAATCGATTTTCCAGACAATGCGTTTCACCCAGAGGGACGCTACGCGGTGGTGTTCACCTGGTGCGATGGCAGCGAGTCTGCGCTTCTCAGCAGCGACAGACACGCCCCTGGGCGCCCCCTGCTGACCTAGTGCGTCCAGAGCGTGTGTGTGCACGTGTGTGCGCGTGTGTGCACGTGTGTGCGTGTGTGTGTGCGCGTGTGTGTGCGTGTGACCACCCAGCACGCCGTCTTTTGAGTTCAGCTTTTCTGTTTTCGCTTGTACCACTGGTTACTCATTCACCTGCTGGAGGGCGTTGTGAAGTTAGTTTTTAATTCCCGTGTGTAATTAGCAGGGAGCCGGGTGGCTGGCGAGCTTGCTTAGCTTGGTACGAGGTGGCCGGACTGTCTCCCCGGCCACTGCGCCGCCC